ACAAACCCAGCCTCAGGAACTGTCCTTTTTAAAGTTTGTTGGTATGTTATCCCAAAATTGACTAATCACCCAATTTTTGTCTGATGAATGCAGAGAAATCAAAACTGTTGCCTCCCTACCAATCCTTTCCTTCTATTAATGCAGCCTAACATACAAAGGACTGTAATTATAATATAGAAACACTATTAAACATAAATATAATGTGTTTACAAGTGCTAGGCTTGCTACATAAGAATAATGAGAAACTTGTTAAAATAAAGATGCCTGGACTCCACCCCATTTATTATAATTTAGCAAAGTGGAGAAGCCTAAACAATCTTAATGTTTAGTTGGTGTACACTGGGCATTAGAAAACTCAGAGATAGTTATCTAACCCCCTCAATATAGCAGGGTCCCCATGAAAAGAAAAACCATGAGATTACTAGGAAAGTGAAACCTGATCTGGAGAAGCAAAATCCAAGGTGGCAGTAAGAAATGGAGCTGGCTTTCACTTCTCCTAATTGGACCATAATAACACCCCCACACAGTAGCCACTGTAAGGTTGCATTCATTTAAATATGACCTTTAGTAGAAGAGTTTAAACAGAACATCTGCTCAACACCATGGCTACTCTAAAGAAGTAACCTTTTCACAAGAATGACACGTCTTGTCTGAGTCTCCTCACTTTGGCATTTGGCTTTCCTCTGGTGAGAAAGTCTCTCCTCATCTCTGAGCATTCCCTGTCTGGAAATTTAGAAGCATACTTTGGAGGAAAAAAAGGTGAGTGCTAAATCACCCAACCAAATTTTGTAATAAGAAACAAAAAAGTAGTTCTTCACATTTACTATATATATTTTTTTAAAATTCAATCTAGCTTTATTTTTTCCTCCTCATCATTGTCTATATAAAGTATTTTAAAAGAGCAACTTTGGGTCTTTCTTTTTCATTCAGTTGTCTTTTTTTTCTAGATCTTCTTGGTAGTTCCTAGCATGAATTTGACTCCATTTATTATCTATCGAGTTTTAAAAGTTATTTTGAAATTACTGCATCTACTTAAGTTTTTAAATTTTCTTTTCAAACATAACTTTATCATTTATAAAATAATTCCATGAGGATTTTCTAATACCTTATTTTAGTTAATGAATCAGGATTTATGATAGGAACAACCAAAAATAGAAGTGATTCAAATTAGTCCCACTGACATGTGACCACCAGCAGCTGTTTAAAATCAATGGCGTTTACACATAATTCTTAGTATGACACATATGTGTTCAATTCCTTTTCCTCCATTTTCCCAGGAGAAGTCAAAGTTAATCTTCACCACATGGAAAGCTGCTAACTTAGACAAACACGAGTGTAAAGTAGATTTCTGTTAAATGTTTACCTTTCCAACTTCAGGCCTATATGGAAAAAAATGATTTAGTTTAGTTTTGCTCATGTGTTTGTGCGACCTTCAGCTTTTGCACCTCAATAGCTTTATTTTATCCTTATCATCATTGTCTTCATTTTAAGGTTCCAGCAATTGGCTCAGAAAGCACAGGAAACCTGGTACAGAAAACAAGTATGCTTCCCCCAGCCTGAACATTTCCCAGGGTGTGTGTGACTTTGGGCAGGTCATGTCATATCTTCAAGAATCTCCTTACTTAAAAATTAAGAGAATAATAATTCCTTATCTGAATTTGCCATTTAATGGTCATGAAGATTTATG